CATGGATGACTTAGGTAACATTTAACTCAGATTTTTATAGCCTTTCTTAGAGCTATAATTGCTCTCTGATCTACATTGTCTTTGCAAAGTTATCGCCATGGCTTTTTGAGCAGCTCAGCAGTAACGCCAAATCTTTCCTGAATTTTAAAAATTTTTATCCTGATATTTTCAAGGAGCGCTGGTAACTGCTATGTAGAGCAGATCTTTGGCTATAGATTACATGGGCAACGTTTACCAAGTCTGTTATAATTATTTATTTGATAAAAACCACGGCTTTTTGACTACATTCACCACGTAAAAGCGCCGAAAATTCCAAAAAGCTCTTTTTTCAAAGCTAATCAAACGTAGTTATGTTGCAAACATAATGTGTAACGGAAATCATGTTTTAATTCGCAATAACTTCAAAAGCTTCGGTGTATTTGCTGCATGTTTCATGACTTTGCCAAAAATCGAGACCTCCCAAGAAATAATCTTTTGAAGCTAAAACAGCAGATTAGGAAATCTAAGAATAGTGCCTTCTAGTCCGAGGTTGTTCTATTTGATCCATATTTAACCTCTTCCGAAACTTTGGAATAAAATTTTAAATAGCCTAACTTTAAGCAGATGATGATGGGTGGAGAATTTTGGCAATTAAAAGGAAGCATATAAGATTGTGGTTCAAAATGCAAACATGAGAAAGTGAAGGAAAAGCTGCATCGGATGCATGTTGAAACTCATTCAGGCTTTATTGTGCGTGGTTTCATAGTGGTTTTAAAAAAAGGACAAGACTTTCGGGACAACCTAATAGTTCCAGAAGCCGTAAGTTTCCCTCTCCGCTGTCACGAAGATCCTCATTGGTGAAAATTTTTGAATTTTTTTCCTTACAATATGTTTCTCTCAAACTGATCCTCCTGTATTCAGGGACTAATCGATAATTATTGTAAGAAATTGAAATTATAAGAACGGCTCGGCACAGCTGGAACCGGCTCAAGCTGGATATCGTTTTTGGGACAAAAAGCAAAGGGGAGATATAGTTTTTGTAGCAAAAAGATACAAAAATTGCAACGTTTCCAGTTGACGTTTCGTTTTTTTTAGAATTTTCACGTTTAAGGTTGAGAGTCAGAGGGGACTTCGTACGAAATTTTTCAAGATAAAAGGGAACTCTGTTTTGAAATTTCCCTGTGACATCTAGTGCCGAGCCCTGATTAGGAGTCAGAAAAAAATCCCACCTCTTCCTACTCTCTCCATGTGCTTTTCAGTTGGGACAATATGTTTTGCAGAAAAAAGCGCATAGTTACCCTACCCTTACTTCATTCTTACTGAGGTGCCATAAAAAACAAAAAAATTCAACTTTACTTTTTCTATGTGCAGAATTTTGAGTTGTAAAGCTTCAAGAATCATCTCGCGCCAGTTGTGATGTCGAAAAAAATTGCAGAGAAGCCTGCAACGGTGATTTTTTCAAGCATTGGCAGTGTTTTTCATTGGCCGTCACTGCAGCGACTGAATTTCGAAAAGCTTTCACTTTACAATCGTATCCGTCTTCCTACGTTTTTCATATCTTTTCATATCTAGTTTCAAATTTTTTAGAAAACTAGTTGACTGTGAAAATGACTAGAAATTAATGACTTTGTCCTTTGTAAGTGTTACATTTTTTGCATTTCTAACAAATTCCTGCTTTTGAAACAGCACTAATATTTTCGAATTCTTCAAAACTTTCAAAATTCTAAGTAAATCAAGATGCTTACATACGAATACCGGTTGACTGAGAATCTATCTCGAAGCAAATGTTGCTTTTGAATTTTTTGCAGATAATGCAGCTTCCTCCTAAGCTGAAGCGCCAATGCAAACAATGTCATTCAACACGAATCAAATGCAGGCTCAGCAGGAAGAAAAGTTTCTCAAAAGAAAAGTTTATCGTCTAAAAATCAGAAGAAAACTTCTTCTATGCATCAATGATACTTGCTTTGCGCTTTCCAGGCGTAAATCAATCAACATTCTTTGTTGGCATATGGCAACCGAACTGATCGAGAGGAATTCACAAAAATAATTTTTTGAATTTTGGTAGCTAAAATTGCTAAAGAGTCTACCAGAATCCAATTATTTTTGATTTCGATTCTATGACTACCCTTCTTAACACATTGACGACAACGTGACCCACATGTGGGTCATGCAGTGTCTGCCACTTGGGATAATGTGATCCACATGGTGGATCATGGCTTAAATTTTGCTGAAAAGACTGCTACTTTGGGATACATTCGTTTGATGTTCTCTAAGCCCTAACCCTGGGAATTACTCTTGTGTTTCTCGCCTGCTTTATAGAATTACTGTAGGTATACTGTAGTTGGCGATTTACATGAGTTTAGCTAAAATTGTTTCGACATCCGTGGAAGGCATCCCCAAGAAGCAGACAACTAAAGTTCTCGTCAACTTGTTAACTAGTAATAAGTGAAATGCTTAAGTGTTTTTTCTTGCTGTAGAGGTATTTGGTTACCTCCCCCAAGAGATAGCGGTAATAAAGTCCTACGGTACATCATTTTCAAGCACACTTGCCAGGATGCTTAGCTATTTCGATAGGAACTTTAAAAAGTTTGTGTTGTGTTTGTTTATTTACACGTGCACGCACACTGGTTCCAAGCTTTTTCTCATGAAATTGATATCCAAGGAAGTACTTGAAAATGGACACGCAGAATTGTACTTCCTGAAGAAGACGCAACTTTCCTTACCACGTACTCCGATTACCGAACCAGTACCAACACGTAACTGGTTAATGCCGTCGGCGACTCGGCAGGGCCGGAAAAAGCGGCGAGGTGTTAGCCGATCGGTGCCGAACACTTCCTTGCGCTTTCCGCTTCTCGCTTTCCGGATAGACGCGAACTGGACCGGGTGGCGCGTCTCCACGCGCGGACGGCCCGCCTGCGCGCCTTTCCCCCGCGCCCCACGCGCTTATATAAATGTACCTTAGCGATGCCAACGGTGATTCGGATTAGTTTTGGCAGCTTAACGTGGCAACTCGTCCGCGACTGTTGATACTCTGCAAACATCTGAAATGTCCGAAGACTTGCGGAAGACTTGCTAGATTGCTATATGTTACGAATATCTAATACTATCACTCTCGTTTCCTATGTCTAAAACTTATGCACATTGTGTGATTGCACAAATGCCAGGGGTGTGATGAATTTCATCTATTTGACTAGACATTCTATGCATCCAAGCTCAACTGAACTGGACTATGCCCCACCATGACTCGGGCACCAGGTCAAGCTCGATATCGTTTTGGTGGTCGAAAAGACACAAATTTGCGATTTTTTTAGTTAACGTTTCGTTTTTTGGGGGTTTTTACGTTTAGGGTTATAGGGTCAAAAAGAACTTCGTATAAATTTTTCAAGATCAAAGGGACTTCATTTTGAAATTTTCCTTGTGGCAGCTCGTCCGAGCCTTGTGCCCCATCATATTTCTTTTATGTCTACCGATTTTTGCACGTTTTTTTAGTTTTGAATTGTTCACTAAAAAAATTTTCTAGTTAGTCGACAGTGACATTGCCTGGATAACTCACAAACTTCGGATCCATGGTTGTTTTCGAATTTTCATTGCACTAACATATTATGATTTGTCAAATTTTCTAGTGCCTACCGAGCAGCCCTCTCTTGCAAGCTTCCATCTTTTTAATATAAACATGTGCTCATGGAATTTCATCGTTCCGGTTTATTCTGTGCAGATACAGCTTGAAGCTCATTCCTAGGTTCCGGTTTCATTTGAACATACTATATTATGTGCAGCCGGTATGACTACGGACTGCAAAATCGACAAACCCAAGCTGTGCAGATCAAAATTGTGTTTGAATACTTTTGTCATACTAATACTGTTGAACAACTAACTTTTGAAATACTTTGATACCAATAATACTTTTGTCTGAATATTTTTTGTGCTCAAAGTACTTGTACAATTTTCTCAATTTTTTTTCTCAAACGGGTGCGTATAACTCTTAATAACCGGTAACAACAAAATTTCAAACGTTCATGCATGTGTGTCTTCTACTACCAAGATTTTGGCAGAATGCTGATGCCGCGGCTATGGTATAGAAGAAGCGTGCAGTATATATTTTACCCAATCTGTGCGTAAAAGTACTTGTGTATTTCTAGAAATCGTAATCAGCTTCCAGCTTCTCCCGTCCTTGCATGGTAGTGTTCCATAAATTACCGTATTATTCACTTTTTTGGTTACAAGCAAGATTTCTCTTTGATTCAACCGGATTGGTGGCTGGAAGGCGACCGCTCGCACCCTCGAAGCACTTTGCGTCTTTCTCGCGCCCGTGTTCTTTGAGAATTCCCTAGCCTTCGAAGCTCCGCCTTCCAGCCGCCAATCCTGTTGAATGAAAGGATAATCTTAGATCGTGAACAAATATAAATCAATCGGGCTTCTCCAAAGATGCCGTTTTGAAATCTGCTTCTATATCTGCAGATTATGATAGTTTATCCATAGTGCTGTTATAGAGATCAAAATATCATTACGGAACTCTACTGCTGTTTTGTCTCCCAACTTTGGATCAAACTGTTTATGAGTGAACTGTCGCGGCCTTTTTATCCTGAACAAGATTTCTCAACTGTATCTCAGTGAATATAAGTAAGCCAGTGCTCGAGCGGCATTTCCCAGAAATTCAGCTTCAAACTTTCGCCCAGACAGTACTCACCCAAAGTGGACCAATCAGCGTCTTCGAGTATTATATAAGGCGCACTTCAAAATGAAATTTTTTGGTCATCTATAAATTATGAGCTGCCTCATAGCAATAGCCCTTGTATGCTCCTCTACACTCACGTACGAAGGTGGAATTCGCGCGAGCATTTTTTTGACAATTGCTACAAATTCGTCATCAGCTGAAGATTGAATCGGCACTGACCCCTAATTTCTTCTTATGGAAAGCTGTAGTGCGTACTCCGACTCATGATATTTTTTTATGTCTTGTAGCGTTTGCGTTTTTCCCTAATTGCATTGACCTAAAAAAATTCGTAAAAATTTTTGGAATCCAGGTAGATGACCTCACGAGGCAACTGCTCGACATCAGCGGCATTATGCGTACAGTTTCTATCGAATGTCGCTAATCTCATGATGGACAACGCCCTCAATGGCGTCGGTCAGGTGAGCGCAAAGGTAAAACCTCATTACTCTTTCATTCTTTCAGCGCCTGATTACGATTTGATGTCGTGTTTTGTTTATATTCCGGTAAGGTGATGCCACGTATGTATACTCAACCGGCTTCCGGTTCTGTGCAAACAGAAATCGCCTCTTTCCAAAAACGCTGCGGATATAGCACTAATACCAAGCACAGTCTGATCAGCTGGGCAGTACAAAAGCACGATACGTTTTTCGGTGTGTAAATATAGGCATTAATGGAAGCGATAGGGATAAATTGTGATGTTTGTCCTTCCAAAAAACGTAAGGGCTATCGGCGGTATTCGAAGCGGGTCAGAATTACGTTCAGTTAAGATGTGGTCTGAGATATTCGAGCAGATCAGATACGGTGCCTCACCCTATCCTCACAATGAAGCTTTACGAGTAAAAGTCGCAACAAGTTACCTTCGATTCAACTGGATTGGCGGCTGGGAGGCGGGTCTTCGTGACCTAAGTAAGGTTAAAGAATGGTTAGAGAGCACTGCGAGAGAGAGAGGCAGATTGCGTCGCGGGCGCGAACGGTCGCCTTTCACCCGCCAATCTCATTAAATCAAATGGTATCCGCGGTAAACCTGCAGATGGATCATAGTCCAAACCACTGCGCATGGTTTCTTTAGTTTCCTTAGTTTCCTTCCGACAAAGTTATGAAGAGGAATCAAAATAATTCCTCTTCATAACTTTGTCGGAAAGGTCGGTGGTATCGTTCCCTTGACAGCCATCGTAAGGTGTCTATGTACAGTATGACTCGTTACTAGACGGCGGCTTCTGGTGCAATCCGCAATTTGCTGAGTTTTAGACTTGATGAGTATTGCTGCAAAGCCGTCCTCTGTTTCAAAATATTCAAAATGAGCAGAGGATATAACTCCTTTAAAAAATAACAAATTTTATGTTTACCTACTGTACAAATACCGGAGAGTCAAAAAGAACCTGCGATAACTCAAAAGTTCATCTCGTCTTCAGGATACGTACGCTGTTCCGGCAGTCGTGATGCCCGTCGTTAGCACTTGGTCCAGCGCACCAGCAACAGCATCAGCACCTTCAATTCCTACAAGATTTAGTTCCTACAGTGAAGCTGGAACCAATGTCAAAGGATTAAACTCGCCAACGTTACATCCAGGTTGGCATGATTTCTGTGATGCAAAATTTTTAATCTTTTTTCTAGGCTCTTACGAACCTTATCTTGCTCCGAACACTTACCGGTTGTATACGATGCGTTTCTGCCCGTATGCTGAGCGCATGGTCATTTATGTTGCAAAGAAGAACATCCCGTGAGTATTTTCTGGAATTATCACTGCTAGCTGATCGATTTCGAATACGTCCGGCAATCTCATTAAGTTCCGTCAAGGTGAAATGGGGTCAAGAATGGCGAAATGGTGTTCAAAAAAAGTTAACAGATCATAAATTACTAGCTGGTATGCCCGGCTTTGCCCGCACCGTGGGTTTGAGTTGCCAACAAAAAACAAAATTGGTGCGCAACTCCAAAGTCTTTACTGCGTTTCGGTGTTCTTCTGTTTTTCGTAGAAAGGCCAGATATCATCTCTTAATCGTATCCTTGAATTATCGATCTCAGCCATCGTGGAATAGAAATGAGTTCTGCCGCTACTGTTTACACGAAAGTTGAATGTGGTTTGATAGTATTGATAAGAGTTCATTTTCCCTAAAAATCGATAAATCAATATAAGGAGCGGGAGCGGCGGCCGCAGCTTTTGAGGCGGTGTGCCGCACCCCATTAACTATATCAAAAACATTTTTAGCGGACAGTATTTATATGAATCGATAGCCTAAACCTTGTAGATTCCATAGGACTGTTTTGAGCCTGATTCGTCTTCTTAGCTCTGGGTAATATTTGGTGAAAGCACAGCGATCAAAAGCGAAAAATGGGAAAAACGAGATTTTGGTTGGCTTCTAATTCCACAGTTTGGAGGTCTTCTGAAGCGGGATTCCTGAGATGGACAAAGAAGGAGTAGTGTTTTGTCTTGAGTGCAAAAATGGATAGCTAATTCACCTTTGAAACAAAGTTAACCATGTTGGAATTTGACCATTTCACTTAGGTACCTAGTATCTTGAATCTTCAGAATTCGCTCACGCTTTGTCTACAGGGGTTATTTGACATGCTAATTATGGATAGGATACGAATATCATGTTATCACTATTATCACCCTTTTGACTCCTTAATACGACCCTCCAGGTGTGGCGTGCCGCACCCCACGCTTGTCCCTGGATATGACCACACCTTTTGCATTTCGTTTCTTGGCTATTTCGAGCGCAAACCAGCTCATCTCATCGAAACAATCGTTCATGCAGTGGCGGCTTGTAAGTAGAAGGGTGGGGTTCGCAAAAAGGACGAATAGTAGGTCTGTACAAAAGGTGAGTGCAACAGAGATGATAATTAGGATTTATTGAGATCTCAACATCAGTGGTGTAGTGGTAGACATGTGCAAACCAGGGGCGTGTTTAGCCTCAAAGTATCAGAAGGGTGCTGCAAATGCAGTAAATGACTAGGGGTCACGTTGATAAAATACACAAGTATTAGACATATCAATTAAATAGCAATAAATAAGCGTGAAGTCATAAAACTGTGGATAAATATAGGAAAATTGGGATGGTGCTAACAGGACACAATAACAATCAATATGATTCATGATGAAGATACCGAGAAAATCCCAGCTTTGTCCATGAATTGATGTTATTACGTTCACTTGCGTACACGCCACAATTTATTCTACAACTTGCAAGATACCTTTGCGAGATTTCGTAGCTTCGTAGAAAGACAAGTTACGGGCCCTTTGGTACTGATGCAAAGGACGAATTATTCTATGACCTCGTATGATTTATAAACACACCCCGAGTTGAGAACTTTATATCTTTTTTGATTTTCTCAAGGTCTAGAGAAATTACAAGGATATGTCCCCCTCAAAGCAAACCTTTGGTGTCTCGTGCGCTTCCTCCACTGATAGTAGGTGGTAGTCACATCGAAAATTTTGATGAAGACTTATCTAGATTTGCGTTGCGGTGATCATTTTGAGTTGTCACGTTGTCGAGATTTTTTTTCAAATGCACAATTCTCCTATATCATTCCATTCAACCACCAGTTCTTCCAGTGAAAACAACAAACTCTCCTACTCTTAAATTGGTCCTGATCGAAGCCTTGGATAACACTCGCCCGTTCTTTTCCGTTGTGCTAATAGGATGATATTCCTCGAAAGCAACCTCTCCTCTTAAAGCCTGTGTCCGATGGCGGATACTATGGTTCTGCCGCAATGAAAAAATCAGTCCATAAAGCTACATAGCGACATCCTTATGGACAATGTTCTGGGTAGTGCCGATGTTCAGAAATGACTGTCATCCAAAGCATATTAACGGTTTCCGGCTCTTTTCAAGGAAAACGACTCTAACACTCAATCCTAATTTTACTGTTGTTGATGAGATATTAGACGTTGGGAACCGTTGCTGGGTTGCTAAGCGACATCCTCACGGACAATTTTCTGGGTTGCTACTGCTTTCAAGCTGTATGATTTTGTACGTATGTTTCGCTGCGCATCATTTCGATGACGTCGCTTCCATAAGTGTGCATTTTTGAGTGCTACTGTCAAAATATAACCATCCTATGTCCAAGATTGTCCACGCAAGAACTCTGTACAGAGGAACAACCCGTTTTCCTTTCATTGTGATTTATTCGCCTCGTCCAAACTGATGTTGTTACTGCTTCCTTTTACTTGTTCGTGGCGCGAGATAGATCCATTGGTTTCTGAGTACCTCGTCATTACTATCACCAGTTGCAAAGCGAGGGCTACAATTCTCAAATGCGCTGTTGAAGCAGAATCCTTCCGACTTTAGCTCCTTAATTTGAAAGGGTGCCCTTCTCCGCAGTGATGCGCAAACTTTCGTTCAAAGACATGTCATTTGTTACGGACAAGAAGCAGAGTTTGTATCAGAGCGCGGTATCCCTTCCTTCATGCAACACTCTGGATTTGAGCGTAGCTTTAGAGGCCTGTTATCGTAGATGAAGTCCTAGGGTCCTTTGCCTAAACATCCTTTTGAGTGCAGTCATGATAACATTGAAGATTGGGACGCATTTTCTAAAACATATCTTTTTAGCAAAAAGGACCATCAGAAACCTACTATTGTGGCAACAACATAAAGCCTCAAGGCTCAATATCTGCTTAGACACATTTTAGAATGCGAAAAAGCAATATTTGCCTCGCTCTAAAGAAGTTATTGTAGAAGATTGGTTGCGTTGTTCGTTGTTGTTTTGTTTTGACCAGATTCACGCAAGATACAGGGACAGGACCAGATCCATCCAAGATACAGGAACATAAAAGTTACAGTTGCATTGGGGGACTATTTTGTGTCATCTGTGTCTATCTATAATGTTAAGATCCAGGAGGAAGGGAACGTATCGTAAATGAACACACAGTATGCAGAAGCTTTCCTTTCGCTAAGAACCATACTATATCTGGTGCAAGTTAGTGAACTGTTGGTTTTCAGTATCGAGATCGTAAATGTTAACCCCGATAAAGGGCCGAGCTGGTATTTGGCGAAATCTCCTCTGGGCAGCGTTCCAGCTTTGGAAATCAATGGAAACGTATGTAATAGATTTTTGTGCAGAGAAATTCACTGAACGAATTGATAGCCGACTTGACTCTAGTTCAATCTTCACTTTGCAGGTAATTTGGGAATCAAAAGTGCTGGCTGAATATCTGGATGAGGTATTTCCTCTAAGCTCAGTGCTTCCGCGTGATCCATTTGAGAAAGCAAAACAGAAAGTTCTTGCCGAACGATTGTCACCGGTTGGTTTGGAATTATGAAATAGTTCGTTATAAATACCCAGAATAAAGTGCCTTTTCAGATGATGAACGTCCTTTTCGATCTGTTCAGCTCAACTACACCCGCTGCACAGCGAAAAACCGACGAAAAGTTGCACTCGGTACTACGTGGTGCTGAAGCGCTTCTTACGGATAGTTTCTATGGGGGTCAGTTTGCAGTGAGGGCCTTTTACAGAATAGTGCAGTGTATCGATATCTATGGCTGATCTAGGTCGACAACCAGGGTTTCCAGACTATATGCTGTGGCCTTTTCTCGAACGACTCGAGCTAATCACTTTGAATCCATATACGCAATTCAGGTTGGTTCTGTGATATGGCAAAAAAGTTGCTTGGAAATGGTGTTCTTAATTTTGCTTGGTGATTGAACGCCATACATACTGTCGAGGTGGTCGACTATACGGACTGGCCGTAACTGCGTAGTTGGGTGAGAGTCACATGCAGTGGTTCGCCTTTGGCGTTAATTAATGTTGTGACTATTTGCTGGATTTCTACTCAAGTTTCGGCTTTTTAGTGGCTAGCGAGTATACTCTAATAAATTAAAGTGCTTAATACAAACGTTCGACTGCGGAGCACTCGCAGCGCGGTTACACGCTTCACCAACGCAAATCGCCATTGCACAAGTCGCGCTCGTGACATTTCAGCCTCGCCGCGATTGCTCCGCAATTTACGGCCAGTCCGTGCGGTCGAAGATTCGACAATACAGTCATCGCTATATATAGAGTTCGCATCTAAAGTTCAATCGAAAAATCTTAGGTATTTCCCTGGTTTGCACTATCCGAAAATGGGCGCATATATTGCCCGGATGCAGAGTCAACCGGAGGTATGTTACTGATGCAAAAAAGCACAATCTCAAGCTTGTGCTTAAGATTCGATTTGCCATGAGACCGCTATCGCATCACAAGGCTTATGTAGACAGTTTCAACGCCGGCAATCCGAACTACGATTACGGTATCTACGGTACTCAATAGGAAGACCTCTGCTCGCTGATAGCACACCTCTTTATATGCCATATTTGTTATGAACAAATGTGTGACAAGCCATTAGTAAGCTATGATTTGTTGTCTGTATATATAAGCTTTTTCGTGCATTGTATTTTTTTAACAAATTTTGAATCTCGTTTAACACCCGGTTTCGCCTACAGTTTGACGCAATACTGTAATACCATATGACAATTTGTTTAACTTTTTGCGTGTTCAAGAAGGAAAAACAATATTTCAACGTCACAAATGCAGACTTCGTGCTTGCGCCTTTATTTTATCTGATCGTTGTCTTAAATTTACCAATTACGTGTTGAATGCTGTTGTTACAGCTATTTATATGTTTTGAAGCAGTGAATACGTAGATTTTATTTTGCTGTAGATGATAACATGCCACTACAGAAAAATTTCACGATTCGTCTTTTCTTGCTCGTTTCTTTCACAAGTACTGGAACATACCTTTCAAATTCACCCAAGTAGTCAGGACTGGATAGCTTGACTACAATCGCAGGCAAGAGCCGCTTTCCTAATTTCACGCGTATAGGACGCGGGGGATTTTCTTCTAAAACCGAACAGCAGGGACACGCCGAAGGACTTCGCGACCAAAAAACTACATATAGTGCTGCATATTGCCATGAGAGTATTGTGCGGCATATGTCTCGTTTTCCGAAACACAACGAGGCGGCTGACCGGCACGCTTGAAAAACCGAGAAAGGTGCGTCTTATTCGCATGAAATTAGGGTAAATCGGCGTTGTATTAGAGTCCAAAAGAGGTGTCAAATTGTACCTCTCCATGGTGTAATCATAAAAAGTAGCGATGTGTGCTTACCAAACTTACTCACACGTGTTGTAAGGGGTTCACTTTCTCCTCTCTTCGGTCTGTTGTACATCCAGACTAATTGTAAGGTGTCTCCCAAGAAGGTGCATCTTGTGAGCGCAAGAAATCGAAGTCCATTTTTTGAAAATCACCCATGTTCGCAAATTATTCTCGCTTACCAGCGAATGGTGTGGAAAACGTTGCAGGCGGTGGCTCGAGAAATCCTCGATCTGAACGTTTTTTGCTTACTTGGGGTCATCCGATGCACATCTGTTGATCCCGCAAACCTAAAGTGCGGAAATTGCGATAGCCAGCATCTTCCAGGATCCTCTATTCCATTCTCGCACGAGTGGAATAGTTAGCGCCAAAACAGTCGTTGCTGGAACCTTACATTTATATTGCGGAATGTAAGTTGAAAGGAGCGGTTTCGGAGGTTGCCGTTGCCAGTTTGGATTCGTATTACACAGAAGCAGGTTTTCAGGCTCCAAAAGCCTTCCTGACATCTTTGTTTGTAATATATGAGAAAATGTAGCGGAGGACTACGTAGTTGTATTCCAGAAGGAACAAAGTAAATTTGAACTACTTTCTTAGTTCTCCTAGAAAGTGAAAACCAATCCATGGGTTTCGATAGTCTCCCAGATTGCGGCATGCCTCTAATGGTGGGACAGATCCTCCAATCTCCAACGAATGCTATCAGTCCCAGATTCGTTATGGGGCAGCCGTGGCAGCTCAAAAGCGTGGTGGTTTTTGATAGCGAGAAAGTATGAAAAGCATTGCTGTAACGTGGAGATTTGCAGGCCGTGACTCGGCAAATCCTCGACCTAGAAGGTCTTGCTTACTTGGAGTAACCCGGGCCCTTGTTCTGACAATCCAACTTAGAGAGCGCTAAAATGGAGAAGACCAGCATTTCCCAAGGCGTTTCATTTGAATGCATTTCCCAAGGCTTTCATTTGAATGCATTTCCCAGGGTGTTTCATGAAAGAGGGGAACAGTTTCCGCCAAGGTTGGAGACGCAGAGTCGTTGCGGGATCCGACCCTCATAGGCTGGATTCACACTGATCGCAAGTTGAGGAACAGTTCCCGCACAGGGCACATTTCGAGCGCTGTGCTGGGAAGTGTTTCGAAACTTAAAGGCACCGTTCACCCAAAATAGGGTTGATGAGATTTTGATGCTTAACAGTGATGGGGCCCCCAACTGTATAATTGTCCAACTCGCGCTGGTAAAGGTGCTTCTCGAGAAAATTGCCTCGAAAATCGCTCGGATGACAGTTTCGCCACGCTCTCAGACAATCGCCGGGGGCAGGCGGGCACCGGAAAAATAGATTGCTGATCTCTCGCACCCCGCTCGCGGATTTTTTGGAAAGCAATCAGGACTTTTCGGAAGACCGCTTGCTGAGTTTTCGATTCCTCAGAGATTCAGCAATCTATCTGCAAAAGATAAGAGCGAAAAAAATATTCAACAGGCGGTCTCTCAAAAATCCGCTGACTCAGCAAGCGGTCTTCCGAAAAGTCCTGATTGTTTTCCAAAAAATCCGCGAGCGGGGTGCGAGAAATCAGCAATCTATTTTTCCGGTGCCCGCCTGCCCCCAGCGATTGTCTGAGCTGGCTCCTCCTTTTTGAGTGGGCGTGAAGTTCGTCCCGCCCATCCATGCGCACCAACCAATCACCGCTTCGGACAACTCGCTCTGCGGCTTCTGGAAACGGGTTTTTTTCGAGGTTTTCGCGAATTCTCGATTTGATATTCGGAATCAGGGACTCAGATAACTGCCGGGGGCAGGCGGCCATGCGAATTTTGAGCAAGCGCGCACCGGAAAAATAGTTCGTTGATTTTTTGCCGCCCGCTTGCAGAAATTTGGAAGAAAGTTGGCGAAATTAAAGACGAATGTTTGAAGAACAATCGCGGTTTCTTTACGGATTAGCTGCGGCGCAGTGGCCGCATTCTCGCGGACTTTCCGCGAGAATATGCAAAAATTTCGGGGGCCGCACGGCCCTTTGTGGAGGACCGCGCAACCCCCAGGTACTTTCCGCTAGGAGAAAGTACCTCAAACTTGAGTAATTAAACCAACGGTGACACCTCTGCCACACAGAGTCTTACCTGCGCTCGACGTACGCCCGAAAATGCCTAAAAAGAGTCCGAGCGCTTGCTGAAAGTTTGGCCAGCGCTCGCTGAAAGAAATTATTTGCCGAGCGCTTGCAAAAAATGCTGTATTGCTGCCCGCTGACAGAATATGCGACCGTAAAGGAAGTGCCGCCCGCTGAAGGTTTGACCACGCCCCAAAATTCTGCTGACCGCCTGCAGAAAAGCGCGAGTTTGCGGACCGCCTGCCCCCGGCGATTATCTGAGGATATGAGAAGACCCTGGAACGGCAAAAATATGGAAGTCGAAAATTTGGGTGGACGGTGCCTTTAAAGATCAGTATGAACCTAGCCATAGTTATAACAATGCGGCATGCCGCAGGTAGAGGACTATATGTCTGTCAAGTCCAGAGGGTGCACTCTCCTGACTTGAATCCTTCACCCTGATTGTTTTACTTTATATGAACATAACATTTATGACTAGAATCTTTATTATAGATTTATAAGGTAAAAAGAGGGGAAGGGTAGCCGCCGGTCACCCGGTTAGGCACAGCTCATCTGAATGATGAATGCTTTTTGAGTCGATTCCTGTAATTTTATCATTTTCTTTGCGAAACGTCTAGTACGTTCGCGACAGACTTTCAGATAAGCGGAAGCAAGACTAAGAAGTAAACAACCACCCGGAGAGATTGATTCCTACTTGATATCTCCAAAGAACTGCTCCATTGAAATCTTGTTTATTTTCGCCTACATGTCGTCAGTCTTCCCATTTCGAGTGTATTCACCGCTATTATACTATTGTTATTCACACCTGATCGATTTTCAGTCCACACTCAGATGTTCAGAGCATCTGAGAAAGACAGAAACTATGCGTATGCCCCATTGCACCTGTGTTCAACTTTGTATTACAATTGCTTTCTGCTATCAGATGTTCAGAGCGTCTGAATAGACCGGATGTTTTGAGTGCCAGTAGTAAACTTCTCACTAATTTCATTTACGCAGCGGCTACTGGCAGGGTAAGTTTGCCGCAAGCGTCTGCACTATAATAAGAAAGACTTCTCCGATAGGCGACTCGGAGAAGTCTTTCAGTCATTCGAAATTTCCCCACGCCCTTGTGGGCAACGTTAGGGAAGTGTTTCCTCTTGAGTTGCCCACATGTTAGATTCCAAAAATTTCATGTTTTGGTTGCCTTCGATTTTTTCTGCGTGCTGTAACGACGAATCTTCAAAACATCAAAATTTTGAAGACTCTGTCACATTAGCGATTTTGATTTTCATTCAAAAATGTTGTTTGCATTTTTTCGTGCATATTTACTTCTTCAATATTTCCAAAACCGTCACCACATATCAAATTTTTTAAACATATCCCAATTCATCTTTCAAGCTATAACGCTTCTACCATGTCGTTATCATTGCAGTACTCGTTCCTTCAGCTCGGGTAGAGCCCACCCATCTACGCTGTATTGAATCATCATTATGGCCATGATTCCACCTTCGGAACAGTTGCGAAAGCCATACCCTTTGATAATTATCCAATTTGCAAATTTATTTTGCTCTTTATTCTCCAGCTCGAAACGAGCTCTTCTATTGACAGGGCGTGCGAAAGCCGCTTTTTCCTATGAACCCTTTTCCCCCTGTCCACATGCATTCGAAGAGCAATAAGCGACTGAGCAATGATGCGATCAAAAGCATTTTTCCTGCCCGCAGTCAGTGACAACAAATGGTGAATGGGCAACCGTGATGACGATTGTGGTAGCAGCAGCACTCTCCTGCTCTCAAACGAAACAGTGGTAAAACAAATGGTACATGGGCAGCACATTGGTGACGATAATGGTAACAACACCCTCTTGCACTCAAACGAAGCAATGATGAAGCAAATGGTAATGGGCACTTCGACGACGACAATGGCATTCCTCTGCCAAGCCATAATCAAAGATGAAAGCTCGGGACGAGCTTTACTATGGAATGGACATGTCGAGACGCAGACTAATTAGATGGTCCGACAATCCCCATGCCAACGGCGCCATCTATTCCTACCGGGCTGGCTGCGCGGGCGGTTCGCGCGCGGCAGCCGTCAGTAGCGTTGGGGCGCGCGTTGGATGGATATGGCATATGTACCGCTTTTCATCAGCTCAAATGTGCAAACGAAGATTTTCGCTCCTATCGCAGGATAACGAAGGCTACTATGTGCAAGGCGATAAATCAATGAAAACATTGACTTCTATTTCAGTGACGCTACGCTGATTTTCTGTTACCTTATTGACTAGCTAGCAGTCGAGAATACTCTACAATTCCTGAGTGCGTCTATTCGGTTATTTGGAACTTATTGCTTTTCTGCGTATGTAGGGAGAAGGTTTTGAGTGTGTTCGTGGCTTCTTCCTGAATAGCGAATCTAACTCTTTCCATGATCCTTACATGTAAGTCAAC